CCTTTTAAAAAAGAATAATTTTCTGGTTTCAATTACTAGTTCTAAATATTAACTGTTTTGTTGCGAGAGTAAAATACAGATAGAAGTTAGGATCAATAAAACAAGAGTTTGAGATAATAACTGGACAATGGTAATTGTGCATCAACTTAAAATACATAGAGAGAGAGAGAGATTTTAAGTTGATTAGGTTTTGTTTGTTTCTAAAAAAAATTTTAAACCCTAATTGAAACAGTGAGAGCACTCACTTAGGTTTGATCGTAGAATCTGAATCAATAAACACGAGAGTGTGAGAAGAGGATTTTCAAACAAATACTTCCTACTGAAAACTATTTTGTTAATCCGAGTTAGGTCAATGAGTTGCTAAATCCCCGAAGTCCGACCATTACATACCGATAATCTCCCTTGAATCTAAACTAGATTATAATTAGTTAGGTTCCCTAAACCCCCTATTAGTTACATTATTAGCCTTAGATTTACGTAGTAACCTAAGATAACGGTAGTTTGACATTTAGTCCCTTGGGACTCAATAATCTTTAAATCTACACGCGATAGGACTGTATACTTGCGATCTAGATTCTTTAAGACTCACAAAGTTGCGATCAAGTTTTTTGCGTCGTTGCTGGGGACTAACAAGTCGATATCGTAACTCTTTTAGTTACACTGTAGAGACTAAGGCACCATTCCCAATTATATGCCAAGCACTCGCTCTAATGGTGAAGGCTTATTGCTACCAATTTATGAACCTGAGAGCTCTATTACTAGAAGACTTCGAGTACGAGTATCTCGTACAAATCAATCCCTCTCTCAATCTTCTATCCCTGCCGAACAAGTTGAAGAACCAAACATGGGTGATCAGCCATGTCCGCTTAAATCTTATGCTATTCCTTCGCATGAAGAACCACATAACAGCATTGCTGCTCCTCCGATTACTAATAACTCCGAACTCAAACCTTCCTTGTTGTCTGTTGTACAACAAAACCAGTTTTCTGGAGGGTCAATGGACGACCCTAATCTACATTTATCGATGTTTCTACAATATGCAGATACAATTAAGAATAATGGAGTCAGTCAAGAGGCGATAAGGCTTCTTCTTTTCCCTTTTTCCCTAAGAGACAGAGCCCGAGCCTGGCTCCAGTCTCTACCAGCTAACTCGGTTACCTCTTGGGATGAGTTTAAGAAAGTCTTTCTTGTAAGATATTTCCCACCAAGTAAGACAGCTATGCTAAGATCCCAAATAAGCGATTTTCGACAAAAGGACAATGAGTCTATTTTTGACGCTTGGGAAAGATACAAAGACATGTTGAGGCTCTGTCCACATCATGGCCTAAAAGAATGGTTAATCATCCATACCTTCTACAATGGTATCCTTTATAACACAAGATTAACGATAGACGCCACCACGAGTGGCACACTTATGGATAAATCCTACGTTGCTGCTTATGCTCTCATAGAAAGTATGGCTCAAAACCACTATCAGTGGGGAAGTGAAAGAGGTCAAGCAGACAAAGCTCCTGTAGAAAAGCACCAAAAAAAGGTGGTATGTATGCGATCAGCAGTCTTGATAGTGTCCATGCTAAGGTAGACGCTCTCGTCTAGAAGATAGATAGCTTAATCGCAGTACCTCCAGCCACCGTGGCTGCTATAACTCTGAACTACGAGATATGCGTAGTACCTGGACATGTTGCTGCTGAATGTCAAATCTTAGCAGGAAACCCCCCCCCCCCCCCCCCCCCCCGATCAAGTACATTATGCTCAAGGAAACCCTTACTCGAACACTTACAACCCTGGATGGAAAAATCGTCCAAATTTCTCATATAAGAACACCAATGCGTTGTATGCGCCTGGCCAAGCACCTGTTGTACCACCAGGATATCAAAAAGCACCTGCAGCTGCTCCTAATATACCTAGGAAGTTTAACCTCGAAATTCTAATGGAAAATTTTATAGCTACCCAAACTCAAACTAACAAGGAATTTCTAAACCAAAATATTCACACTAGTGAGCAAATCAAATAGTTAGTGAACAAAGTAGATGCTTTAGCCACCCATAATAAAATGCTGAAACCCAGATTTCGCAAGTGGCCCAATAATAAGCACCTACTGCTGCACCTGCTGGTACATTTCCAGGTCAACCTCAACCGAATCCAAAAGGAAATGCTCATGCTATCATGTTGCGAATTGGAACTGAATACGATGGACCAATTGATCCTAGAGCTAAAAACCCAACCATGTCCCAAAGTTCTAGAAAAACAACCGAGGAGGAAAGTGAACCAAAAGAGAAGGAAAAGGTAGGTGATGGAGAGGAAGAAGAAAAGGAAAAACCTTATGTGCCTCCTCTGCCTTACAGACCACTAATCCTGTATCCTCAAAGACTTGCTCAATCTAGAAATTCAGAGAAATTTAAGAAATTTGTTGAACTTCTGAAACAATTAAACACCATGATACCATTCATAAGAGCTATCACTCAAATGCCCTTGTACGCTAAGTTTCTCAAAGAAATATTGTCAAACAAGAAAAAGATAGAGGATAACGAGAGAATTACACTCACTGCTAAGTGTAGCGCAATCATTCTAAATAAAATGCTTCAGAAGATGAAGGATCCCGAAAGTTTATCTATACCATGTAATATAGGTAAGTATGTCATAAACAAAGCTTTATGCGACTTATGAGCTAGTATCAACATTATGCCCCTGTCCATATCCAAAAATCTTGACATGGGAGAATTAAGACCAACCAAGATTTCAGTACAACTAGCAGATTGCTCTGTCAAATACCCCGTGGGAATTCTAGAAAACATTCTGGTACGCATAGGTCAATTCTACATCCCTACAGATTTCATCATTATGGACATTAAAGAAGACAACGTAATCCTATAATATTGGGAAGACCATTTTTAGCCACTGTTGGAGCTATTATAGATGTTAAAAGAGCAAAGCTAACTTTTGAAGTTGGAGAAGAGAAAGTTGAGTTTATCCTGACACAGTTCCTACAGGCCCCAACTATTGATGATACATGCTATATGTTAGATGTAATAGACGAATGTGTCAAAGAGATGGAGTCAGGAGAAGAAACTCATTCCGAAACTATGAAGATTTCGATGCCCCTAATTTTTAAAGATGATGATTGGTGTCCTGAATATCGAGATGACGATTTAAGCGAATGCCTAGCACTGACACCAAATCATATGCCTTGTTCGAAGAAACCCAACTTGGAACTTAAAGTTTTACCCAAAACCCTAAGATACGAATTCCTAGATTCTGAACTTAAAAGACACGTGATAGTCAACGTAGACTTAGGACAATCTGAGACGGAAAAACTATTGCATGTCTTAAGAAAATATCCCTCTGCTTTAGGATATAACATTGCTGATCTTAAAGGAATAAGTCTTTCCATCTGCATGCATCGCAGTATGCTAGAAGAAGAATGTAAATCTTCTAGAGAACATCAAAGAAGAATTAACCCGATCTTGAGCACTGTAGTCAAGGATGAAGTAACTAAACCTCTAAATGCAGGTATCATTTATCCAATCTCAGATAGCCAATGGGTTAGTCCAGTCCACTGTGAACCCAAGAAAGGAGGAATCACAGTCACGACAAATAAAGCGGGAGAACAAATAGCAGAAAGAGTCGTGAGTGGAGCCAAAATGTGCATCAACTACAGAAAACTAAATAAAGCAACTCGAAAAGACCATTTCCCTCTACCTTTTATTGACCAAATGCTTGAGCGATTGGCTAAGCATTCTTACTACTGCTATTTAGACGGTTATTCAGGATTCTTTCAAATTCCTATCCACCCTGATAACCAAGAAAAGACAACGTTCATGTGTCCTTATGGTACATTTGCTTATCGGTGAATGTCGTTCGAACTATGTAATGCGCCTGCAACATTCCAAAGATGTATGATGTCCATCTTTGCCAATTTTATAGACGATATCATGGATGACTTTTCTGTATTCACATTTCTTTTTCTTCACTGATTTTCACTATGGACTTTTCTGACACTATGTCTGTCACCTTCGTGGGTGATGCTCAGTAGAAGCGTTATGAGATGCTTGCTCCGAGAGAGATGTATCCCACCATCTTTTTGCATGACCCCCACATTGTCCGCATTGGGCATCAGGGAGAGTGTCCGCTTCATGTTTAACCAGATTGGTTGGGATTATTTTATTCATCATCAACAACCTACCTACCGCAACCTGACGCTGGAGTTCCTCAGTTCGTTGCATTACAACCATGATATTGGTTTAGGGTTGGCCAGAGGTTTGGTTTCATTCATATTATTTGGTTTTACCCACAGGTTCACCATCCGTGAAAATGCTGCTTTATTGGATTTCCCGGTTAGTGCTGATGTTGTCATTGAGATTCCAGATGACAAGCATGTGGACATCCAGCTTGACCACTTTTGGGGAGAGATATTTGATCTGAGACACGAGATCTCTATTCCTAGGCACTCTTCAAATATTCATAACCCCTCTATTAGGTATTTCCATATGATTTTGGCGTTTACCCTATTTGGAGAACCTCAGAATGATACCGTAGTGTCTAAGGAAGAATTGTTTATCATGTTCTGTGTGTTTCAGTCCAGACCGATAGTCGGTGCATATTTTTATGATTGCTTGTCTCCTGAGTATAGCCCAGGCTCCTCATGGCCCAATTTGTGTTGGTGGTTTAGTGACTATGATCGCTAAAGCCCTATTTTTGAGTGAGCCACTGTCCTCTCTAACCCCTGTGGTAACTATACCCCGCTAGACCTTACTCTTTGTTTTAATGTTGGGATGATCAGATGTTTAGAGCTGAATCAGTTTCAATTTCTGATACATCACAAATCGGTATACCACTTCACACTTCCTGACATTGCACAGTTCAGTGTGCATGACAGAAAGAACTGGATTTATGACTTGGAGGGTATAATTGAGAATGACGTGGAAGAAAAAGAGTATGATCCTTTGACACTGCCCCATTATTATGACCCTCTAGTAGGATTGGGCGAGTTTGATCCTGAGATGGCAGAGACTGATCCTGTGACACCTCATTTACTTGACCGCCATCCAGCTTGGGACACACCATCAACTTCTGTTGTCGTTGTCCATATTCATCAGACTGATATCGCTGCTGCTATGGACACTATCACGACGGAGCTTGTTGATATTCGTTTTGATATTACTGCCCTCCGTAGAGATTTTTATGGTTTCATGGATCTTGTTACGACAAATATAGATCACCTGTTTCATTCTAGAGGTGGCTAATTTATGTCTTTAGAACATTGAGGGCACTGTTTTCTCTAAGTGTAGGGGATGGGTGTTTATTCAGTCTTTAGTTTTTCATTAGCATCATTATTTTTATTTTCTAGTTGGATTTACTTATTTTAATTTATTTATATATTTTATTCATTTTTTTTATAGAATTATTCATTTATTTATTTATTTCAATATTTTCAAATTTACTCCTCATTTTGCTATTATATGTTATTCTGTTCTCCCAAAATAAAATACATGTTGATCTAATAGACCAAATAATACAATTAAATTATGCATCACACCTAATTGTCACTTCATCTCCTAGCATTTTAAATTTATTATTTCCACTAGACAATGAATTGACACATCCATGCCATGCCTCGGTCACCAAGCAAAGTCCCTCATGCATGGCTGACAAACCGACAGTTGCAGGCACGTGATTCTCTTGGGAATCAAGCCTTGTAACGATCGTTACAAGAGTGCCTTGTAACTTGAAGCCAAGTGTAATGACCGTTACACCCTCATCTCCTCCCACTCTTTAAACTTCTCCAGCCGTTGCATCTTCATTTGATTTTCAATTCAAACCTTTTTTTTCAAACTTCCTATCCGTTCCATTTCTATTCTACACAAATAAACACCCTCCCTAAATACCATTCAATACCCCCACTAATTTTCTCTTCACCATTAAAACATTGCTTCTATATAAACTCTTGAAGAGATTTTTACTATCACACCAACTTTCTTCAACATCTCTTCTATCTTATAAACTTTATCATTTCCAACACCTTTCCCAAATGGCCAAAAGAGCTCAAGAAGAAAGAGAGGAGCCAGACCTCACTGATATGATATTCAGAAATGGAGCCGACGGACATCGAAAAGAGCAACTTTACCGAAGGTTTCATCAGAGAGGTATACTTCCAACAAGGTATATCGATGAAGAATGCTTACGTGACTTGGGATTGCTTGAAAGTGTGCAATTTATGCTCCATGAATCTGGTCTACACTACATTGCCACCATGAATCTTCCAACTTATGAATCCCTCACGTTGGAATTCTTGAGCTCTTTTTTCTACCAAACACCATCCACTCCAAAAGCCGATCAATATCTAATTGGCGCAATAACTTTTGGATTATTCAACACGGAGTACACCATGAATCAAGAGACTCTGAGTCAGATACTCCACTGCAACCATGGTGAAGGTGTGGAATATAGAATTCTGCCTGAAGAAGATTGGAAGGCAAGATCGTTTGAAATTTGGGAACGTTTAACTAATACTCAGGTCAACGACTGGGCTGAGCTTTTATCCACTCACATACACAACCCATGCATCCACTATTTCCATCGTGTTCTAGCCAATACAGTATTCGGGCGAGCAAACAACAATAAAGTGAATGCTAGGGAAATGTATTTTCTGCACTGCACCCTTGATCCCGATCTTAGAATATATGTTGCTCAATTCCTTCTCAACCACATCTAGTCTCTGTTATCAAGGAGCACAAGCACATCACCTTTATGTATAGGAGGTTTAGTCACCGCTATTGCAAACTATCTGAATTTGCAAAATAGGTTGGTTCAACTACCTTTTTGGCAAGTTGAGTTTCTTGATATTGAATATTTCCAGTTCGGCCATCTTGTCAAAGCAAGAAGGGATGAAAGGTACAACCTGATGGTGCATCACAAGGTCGTCCCATGTATTATTCTTTCGAATCCGGATGTAACAAGAATTGACATCACCGCAAATTGGATTTACGATTTGCAGGCACTAGCCCCTGGAGCACACATGCAGGATAATCAAGCAGGTGTAGAAAATGCAGTACCAGAAGTGAGTCAACAAGGGCCACAACAAGAACAAGCAGGAAATGATCCTCAGCCGGCCACCATCGAAGCTATCTATGCATCGCTTTTACTACAAGATCAACGTCAATAAGAGCTGATGCAAATGATGCAAGAGCTGCAGCGCAATCAACACGATAACACTTACTGAAATCATTGCGACATTTCTAACCTGACTGATGAAATGCGGCACTTGTCATTCCGTGTTGAAGGCATGAATGCTTATGTTTACAACACTGGCGAGTAACCTCCCAGAAGAGGTGGAGTAAGGACACGAGGAGGAAGGGCATAAGGTGAAGCATCCAGCAGCAGAAACGTCAGAGACGACAATGAGGAGTGATTTATGTTTTCTCCATTCCTTGCATTTTTATTATTATTTCTTAAGTTTCCTATTCGTTTTCTTTTTTCACTTTATTTGTCGTATTGAGGAAAATGCTCAGTTAAAGTGTAGGGGAGGAAACATATGGTACCTATGTTATGTTTTCTATTTTCCTAGTAAGTTATTCAAATTTCTGTTATTTCCTTGTCCATTCAATAAAAAATCATTTCTGTAAGTTATTCGTACTTCAACACTTTTTTTGAACCATAAAAAGTTTTTTTTACTCGATGCATTAGCTCGGTACATTCGAAAAGTATATAGGTTGTTCACAATTAGGTTGTGTTAGATTTTTTGAAAAAGAGTCGACAAAAATAATACCGCCTTGACACCTAAATCTTCCAGATTATGCAAATCAGTTTGAGTGGTTATGATACCGAAGCCTTAAATTTTAGTTTTGGATCAACCCCGAGTAGTTTATAATAGCAGTCGGCACTGTCTTATCCACAAACTACATAGGGAGCCGATGAATATAAGTGACTGGTCCAAATCAGAAAAAAGAAAAATTATAAGCATCAAGATATAATAGGGAATGCGCTAATTAAATTAGGTGACCCTCACCAGGTCATTTAATCCAACAATTGTGGTACCTACAAAAACTGATGTAACAACCAGTTCTAAGCCTGTTCAGTGGTATCTAGTGCTGAACTTGGTAGGGCGAACTACGGTTCGATCCCCCGAGACTTATAATCTGGGAAAGAAAAAGGGTTACTAACTTGTGTACCAGAAACCCGTGCATAAGAGACCAGAATCGCTAACCGTCTACTATACTATGTGCGAAATATAAAGGGCTTAATATGATTGCGCTAGAATGAAAGCGGTTGATTTCGAACAAAAAGAATTGGGTTGGGTTATGATAGCATAATTTAGACTAGTTTGCATAGGATGGAGGATTTTGACCATGTCCTATGGTTTTGTGTCATTTCTGTATCATTAGTGTCAGAACCTAGTTCCATCTTTCTAATGTAACGCCTCTCAACCACGTACGATTCGAGTTGTGTCATGCGATTGTGTTGGAAACCGTGTGTTAAACGTTTTTTTTTGCTCTATTATTTGCTTGAGGATAAGCAAAAGTTCAAGTGTAAGGAGTTTGATAAGCCAGAAATGTATCAAATATTTGGATCTATTTACATGAATTTTATCCGCATTTTAATTAATTAAATTACTCTTTATTCGTATTATGCTGGTATTTTCTATGTTTTCAGGAATTTGATGTTTGCAAGGCATGTGCGAAGAAAGTCAAGAAAATTCGAGCTAATCGTATTTAAAATCCGCACAAAGAAAGAGAAATTATGCAATTGAGGGGTGTGTGGAAAAATTGGGTGCATCACAAGTAAAAATCCTTAGAAGACCAAAGAAGAAATACACGTTGGGCCCAATCTACCCAAGCCCAAGGGGTGTAACGACCGTTACACATTTTCTAGCCCAGGTGTAACGACCGTTACACCTTGCCTCGCTAGCCCCTCCTCAAAAGTAGGGGGTGTAACGACCGTTACACCTTGCAGCGCTAGCCCCGCCTCAAAAGCAGGAGTGTAACGATCATTACACTGATTCCTTCAATCCGTAGCAGTCGTTACAAAGGCAAATCTGGAGGAGAAAATATCTCAATTCCCTGTGCGTCTCCAAGCTTATAAATACAACCTCAAATCCCCATTTATAAAACATTTTCCTTTCTTTGTTTTTACTATTACTCTGCCGAATATTTTCCACATTATTTCTTTCTTTTTATTTTACCGATCTGTGGGAGACACTTGAAATCAGCCAAATATTCTGCCATAGTATTTTCAGGTTTAATTTAAGTATTTTATTTATTTATCCCAGGATTGTCTGAAATGTTTAGTTTATTTAAATTGTTTGATGGTAGTTATTTCTGTTGCGCTGTTATTGAATTGTATAACATGCTAGGCTAAATTTATTTATCGGTATGTAAGGTCATATAGCCAACGAGGTTTAGCAATGCCAATTAATCAGTTCCTTTTAAAAAAGAATAATTTTTTTGGTTTCAATTACTAGTTCTAAATATTAACTGTTTTGTTACGAGAGTAAAATACAGATAGAAGTTAGGATCAATAAAACGAGAGTTTGAGATGATAACTGGACAGTGGTAATTGTGCATCAACTTAAAATACATCGAGAGCGCTTTTAAGTTGATTAGGTTTTGTTTGTTTCCAAAAACTATTTTTAAACCCTAATTGAAACAGCGAGAGCACTCACTTAGGTTTGGTCGTAGGATCTGAATCAATAAACACGAGAGTGTGAGAAGAGGATTTTCAAACAAATACTTCTTACTGAAAACTGTTTTGTTAATCTGAGTTAGGTCAATGAGTTGCTAAATCCCCGAAGTCCAACCATTACAATACCAATATTCTCCCTTGAATCTAAACTAGATTATAATCAGTTAGGTTCCCTAAACCCTCTATTAATTACATTATTAGCCTTAGACTTACCTAGTAACCTAAGATAATGGTAGTTCGACATTTAGTCCCTTGGGATTCGATAATCTTTAAAGCTATATGCGATAGGACTGTATACTTGCAGTCTAGATTCTTTAAGACTCACAAAGTCACGATCAACAACTGGATAATTCTTTCAAGTATTTGATACCCCAATCTCATGGTGTTCGAAGAAGCAATCTCTGGTGGCACTGTCATCATGTAAAGCTGAATATACAATAGGATCCTACGCTGCATGTCAAGCAATCTGGATCAGATATGTACTTGAAGAAATGGAGGTCGAAGTCAAGAAACCTCTAGTGTTGTAAATCGATAACAAGTCAGCCATAAATCTGGCGAAGAATCCAGTTCTGCATGGAAGAAGTAAGCATATCGAAGCTAGGTTTCACTTCTTGAGGGAAAAGGTAAATTGAGGTGAACTTGAAGTTAGGCATTGCTCAAGTGAAGCATAGTTGATCGACATTTTCACCAAAGGATTGAAGATCGACAAATTTTTGAATTTGAGAAAGAAATTAGGAATAATTTAGATCGGCTATGACTATGGGTGTGTCTTGAAATATTAAAATATATTTGATTAGATTAGATTTAATATTTAAATATAATCCAAGTTGTGTTAACCCAAGCCCAATTAGGATTGTATATAAATAGCCATAGTATAATCCAAGTTGTGTTAGTCCAAGCCCAATTAGGATTGTATATAAATAGCCATAATATAATTCAAGTTGTGTTAATCCAACTCCAATTAGGATTATATATAAATAGCCATAATATGTATCCTTATTTTGTACAATTCATTAAATGAATAATATAATCTTTATTTTCTTTATTATTTTCTGTTTCTTTCCTCACTAAAGTACATCACGTACTAACAAGTTGCATATGGATGAATGCCTACATAGCTTCTAAGCTTCAACCTCTATTATGAAAAGTGAATCAAAATTTCATGATGTTCTTGCACAAAATAACATACCACTATTATCTATAAGACACCACTTCCTATTAGTTATGCCTTTTTGTTTATTAAACTCCACGTTAATATTACACTTTATCCACCTAGTATTTGGTGGGTGTCACACAACGGATTGATCATTAAAATTATTATTAGAAGAAGATAAATTTTGAACTTGAAACCAATTATGTCAATTATTAAATGCTTGAATATTTAACTGATTCACATCCTCCTTCTCATTATGTCAAATCTAATTATTCATGTTATTCCATAATCTTGAAATCACAACATCAACTCTCTACGCTACCCGCCTATCCTCCTTACTACAAATGTAAAAAATTAGAGACTTAACATAATTAAATGTATGTAATTTAGAAGCGATGATAGGATTCAAACCTGCAACATTCCAACTTTAAATGACCGTTGGACATCCACAAAACACATGTCAATCATCTTCTTCACTATCTTCACACAATTGACAGATATCACGATATAGAACGTGATGCTAACGAAATCTAATCCATATTAAAAGACAGCCACAACAAATCCTCCAAAGTAGATGTTTGACTCTAGAAGGAGCTGAGATATTCCATAAACTACTTCAAAATAGGTCTTATGATTTAAAGATTAAAATTATTTTAGTATAGATAACTTATTTAGAAAGTAAGATCCAATTTAATTATATATTATTTAAATTGATTTCCTTTCCAATTTCCATTAAATAAATTTATAATAATAAATTTTTATAAAAATTAATAATATATAGTTACATATAACATCTTAATTTTATCAATTATATATATATATATATATTATTGCGAGGGATAAAAGTTTATGAAAATTTTAAATATACTAGCAGTTTATAATAACTTTTTGTTTTGAACCCAAACCCAAATTATTTGTCTCAAGGTCACAAATTTGTAGCAAAATACAACTTACAAGATATACTAAAAATACCATTATTAAATAACAATAATTTATCATATGTTTGAAATATATGAATATGTTAAAAAAAGAATAAATTAATCAAAATTGGTAACAATATTAAAAATCAACAAATAATAAATAAATAAATAAAAGAAAGAAATATAAATTACTAATATTTATACATGAAGTTTGAAATTAGTCCAAACAGTTTCCATACAAGAAGATTCCGAAATATTTAATAATATTCAGTTTTTAATAAAATTATATTTTCATTATAAATTGATTTAGATAAGAATATCCCCGGTTGCTGAAAATAAATGTTGTTGATATAACTTATATATATTTTTACTATTTGATTAAATGAATAATAAAAAATGGAAAATTGTAGGTTAGCATCTATCTGCAAGTAGTGGCACCACCTTTGGCTTTAGTGGAGTCACATTCCACATTACACTACACATACTTATCGTGCGCACCAGCTCATGTTTTGTGACTTTCTCTGAATTTCTCTTTCTCTTTCTTTGCGGGAATCGTTAGGGTACACTCTTGTTGGCCCCTAACAACAACAACGTACCGGGTCCCACATTACCGTCCCCCCTATTCTTTCATCTATCAAACACAACACAAACACCTCTGTGTTCTAAATTTCCAACCAAACCGTGTCTTCATTCTTTCACTTCCACCGTTCTTTTCGTTAATCTTGTTTACTTTACTTAATTTTCCTTTTTCTCAATTTTCTCTCTAACTAATACAGTTCCATCCTTTAATTAAATAAGATTATTACAAAAATAAAACTCTATTTTGGAACCTAGTTGTAGTATTCTAGTTGTTGTAGCTAGCGGTGTTTATTTGTACTTGTATGCTCCTCAATCTTCTTCCTTTCCCTCCCATCTGCTCATTCTTGTTTTCTTCTTCTTTTTTCCCCTCTCTCCATTGAGGTTTATTTCCTCTGTTTTTTGAGGTATTCAATTATTCTTGTGTGAAAAAAAATCAACTTCTTCTCTTCTCTTCATCTTGTTGCTGAGATTGTTCAGCTTCTCTTCTCTTGTCTTTCCCCAGATCCAACTCCAGCTTAATTAATCAGGTAATTAAAAAGTTCATATTCTTTTTTTCTTATTAATTTATTAATTATAATATTGTTATTATTATTGTTGCTTTTCTCTTTGTTTTTTTGTCTTTCTTTATTGATTTTGTTTAATATAGTTTATTGAAGAACTTTCCGGCCTTTTGTTTGTTTTGTTGATTTATGTTATTTCAACATGGTTGACTTTGTCTTATGCTGATTAACGTTGTAAAATACTATGTGCTAATTGAACCTTGTTTGTTCTTTTCTTAATCCTCTCATATTTCCCGTACAATTTTTTTTGTAGGACAATGAGTTTTAGACAAGGTTGTAATCATTAATCTTAAACCTTAGTAGTAGAAGATGGAAAATGTAAGTTTATGGATTCAAAAAGAGGAAGAATTATCAGATGAATTAGACTCTTCATCAAAATCACGTTTAAATAAGTTGATTAAAAGCTCTAATTCTCATTCAACAATACCTGTAAATGCTATTCAATCACAAATTAGTAAAGTATTCTTCAACGGTAATGGACTTGACAACAGGATTCCGAAGCATATTGTAAGTGTGGACGAGAAATATCTTCGTCGCTGTCTCGAATTGGTACATAACTCTGCATTAAAAGCGGCGCAATGGAACAACATCCCGATGAGCTTAAGAGGATCAAACTTAGGGAGTACTATATCAGAAAGTTTAAATTCGGGTAAATTCTTTCATGGGAATTTTGTTTTTGATTGTCCTGTGGCGACTGAGATCGGGGGAGTTATTATGAATACTGATACCGGAGAAGAGTGGAGTTTAGGTTCAGTAATGGAGAGCAAGAGTATGATAAATATATTGAATAGTGCGTTGCTTCGGAAATATGGTGATTCAGAGAGAAATGGGAATTTGAACAGGATGGATTTTTCTGATGCGAAAGGATTGATATGCTACGATTTTATCGACTCTTCTAGCAGTTTAAGCGTCTCTTCATCGTATAACCTTGATAAGGAGACAACACCGTCGGCACAAAAGTATGGATCCATTCCTTTTCATAAAAGGCTTGCTTCCATGTCTAGCGCCACCTCTACTTCTTCTGATTGGATGTCGGCGACTTCTACTTTATCTCAGGGGATGATTCAATGTACGTGGAAGCGAGGGATTCCTCGTTTTATTTTTTCCGCAGATGATCAGAAAGAGGTCTATGTAGCGAATTTGAGGAAGGTAGTAGACTCAACCGATCGTAAGGCTTTGGACTATGTGTATCAGTTTCACTTAAACAAGGGTGATCGAAAGGGTTGTGAAATTGCTGACGAGAATTTGCCGCTTGTTGGGAAGATGAATGTGTCAACAAGTTTCACTCTTTGTCCGGATAATAATTGTCGAGTAATGGAGACAGAGTTCACGTTATTCCAGAACATTGAAGTTTATGATAACGCATCAGAGTATTCTCATCCAGTGAAAAACAAGGGGCTAAAGAAAAAGGTGTCAAAAGTTTTCAGAACGAATCTATCGTCAAAACATAGAACACTCTCTAAGTTCATCGGATCAGGTGGCGTATCAGAGAGTTGTCTGTGGGATCCATATACTCAGGGTGGAATCAATTTATTAGAGACTAATGTTCCTTCAAATTTCGAAATGGCTTCGATTGTTGTAAAAGACCACCTTCCTTGTAATAAACCACTAACAATAGGCGGCTGGGGCTTAAAATTTCTCGACAAATCAGGCGCAAATAAAACCGTGTCACCGTCTGAAAGTTGTAATCAAAATAATGATGACTGCTCGTCTAGTATGAGCATTCTGGTTCCAGCAGGCCTTCATGGTGGTCCTAGAACCAGAAATGGCGGCCCTTCTAGTTTGATAGATAGGTGGAGATCCGGAGGTCACTGCGACTGCGGTGGTTGGGATGAAGGATGTCCATTGACAGTACTTCAGAAAAAATCTAGCAAAGTGGAGGTTCTGTCTCACGTAGATACCAAAGGCGAGTGCATGTCAGTTGATTTAGTTACTCAGGTTTGTTTATAACCAAAATTCTATTACTCTTCTTCTCTGTTACCTTTAAATAATGTTAGTGATCTCGTGTTATTGTTGCATGATTGGAACATTAGTTTAAGCCAATGTTATTGCTCTATTCTTCACATTCATGCTTAATAGACAATTATTTATGATGCAACACACGATGACCATACCCTTGTTCCAGTTTCAGGGTTCGGACGATATTAGTCCAGCGTTAAGGATGGTAAATGTTCACGACGGTCTATATTATATTCATTTCCACACACCTCTTTCTGCACTACAGGCTTTCTCCATTTCCGTGGCTATAATTCATATGCAAAGTCCTACTCTTCGGCCAAAAAGTGTGCAGGAACTGTCATAATACAAGTAAAACACAGTCTATTTACAGCCATAATGCTCTATCTGTATTATAAATACAACTCAGAGAGAAGATTCTGGTTTTTATATGTGATTCCGGTTTTGTTCCTATGTTTAGGACTGTTACTTTTTCATAGACGCAGATGTTATCTTATTTAGGAGATCGATCTATGTTTGTCGTTTCCGACAGTTCGTAGACAAGATCGTGTAACCATCTTTTTCCTCATTCTTTTTAGTTGAAGAGGATAGAATGTCAAAGGGTTTACTAGAAATAGTTTGCTAAATTGTAGCATTGAGATTGTGTTTATCATATTCGTTGGTGAGAAGTGGACTAATTATTCTATGGTTAGTTGTATGCAGATAATTTTGTATGTACTATATATTCAAACTTAAATTTTGAGCTGGAATGCCGATTCTTTCACTTTCATTTAGTTCATTTTAAGACAAACCACTTGATGCACATTTTATCTGCGTTTTCGGCTTTTCTTTTCCAGAAACTTATCTTTCAATAGGACCTATCATGAAGAATTCACTTCAGGCATATCTGTAAGGTACGTGCTTGACATCTTCTACAGAATATGGTTAAGTTTAATGTTATCTACTTTCTACTTTTTAGCAGGTGTTGACAGAATGTGATATTTATTCTAATCTCAGCAAAAATAAACTATAATACAATACTACCTTATTAGATTTAGAAATTTAAAAATGGAGTTGATTTGTTGTTAAAGTGTGTTACAATCAAGATCACAATTGTTCCATGTGTAAGGTTTACAAGGAATGTAATAAAACAGTAATTAAATACATTAACTACAGTTAATACTAATAGAAGACAACCGAGGTATAGAAGAACTGATACACAATTCAAGTAAATGATATAAACAAAATGATTCGCAGACGCCTAATTTGCTAACACAATTCAAGTAAATTAATATTTATATCAATAGTATGTTTTTTCTAGTTTATAAAAATATTTGTATCAATAATATATTTTTTCTATTTATAAAAAATATCGACAACAATACTCTTTTTTTTATTTATAAAAATATTTATATTAGCACTACACTGTTTTCCATTTATAAAAAGATTGTGTAAATAAAATATTATCTGAACCTTTATGTACCAATAATAAATTTTTTCCAATTTTTAAATCATGAATTTAAAACAAAATCTGATTTGGTAAAATAAAAAACTTAACTAAATACACCGTTGTCTAAATAACTCTCACATTGTGATTCACTTAAATATTCCGAGGTAAATTATCCTTCTCTTGTAGCAGCTGCTGCAAAGTCTTTACTAAACAAGTAAATTATCCTTCTTTTGCAGCTATGGGGAGACAAAATGGATTTGACTAGTTGAATATGTCTGTTTCGTCCGCACTTTAGTGCGGGATGGACCAAGGATTTAGACCCTCACTATCTAATGTCATGCATTGTTCTATTTTTTACGCGGGTTTTTTACGGGCACGTGCATTTATATAATTTTTTGCATTTTTATGTTTAAAAGATGTAGTGCCTGTGGGCTTTTCCAGCCTTGCCTTCACTTTTTTACGGGACGATGATAGATTTTAGACCCGCATCTTAAATTATGTTAGTCTCGCTCCGATCTTTTTTTTTACGAATTTTTGTGAAACAGATCTAAACAACACGGACATACCCGTTTGTCAACCGTACTTACAACTAGTGCTATAAAATCTTTACTAAATCAGTAAATTATCCTCAAATTACCTTTCTTTACTAAACCATTAAATATAAGTACACATTTTATTTTTCAATTGATTTGAAAATTGATTAATTTTTTTACCGAAATATACATAACATTCTCTTTATATAAAACTATTATCAGGCATATATTATATATTATTCATGTAATTTTAAATCTATTCATATAATTGTTTCAAAAATATAATAAAAATGAAAACACAAAAAACAAAAAAACAATTATTTAACCAACACAATTTTGTATTTTAAAAAAAAAAGTTTATTACATAAATATAAATATTTGAATTTTCGGTATATTTTATATATAAATATTAATTTTGTTTTAACATTATTTAGATAATCTATATAATTACATTTTAAGAGGATGTTTTCATAGACAAATTTAAATAAATACTTAGGTGGCGTCTAAGGCGAGGGTTCTATGTCCCTTACCATATACCATGTTTTAAAACCGCCATATGAAACCATTAGACAATACCACACCAAATTAGACCTCCATTCAGAAACCATTAGACAATACCACACCAAATTAGACCTCCATTCAGATTTTCTTTTTAAGATTATTGTTATAAACTTTGTTTACATCAAAATGTCACAATGAATCAACTTTTTTTTATGACTTTGTTGATAGTAGAATATGAGGCCCTAGTAAAGCTGTGTATATGGACCAAAGTTCGTAGATCAACCAGTTTAACTCGCGACAGACACGTTTAGTTCATTGAACTTTAATAATTTTTCTTTGTCCTCCGTCATTTTTTCTCAAATTCCTAACGAAAAGTCAAAAATATCTTCTATTTTTAAAAATATGTCTTCAACCACATCAAATTTTATTTTTTTACCAAAATTTAATTTAGAGATACATTTTAAAATTTTTTTGAAATTAATTCGTAAATATATCTCTGAAAGTTAAAAAAGATTACGAGATTTATTAGAAAAAATTAAACTATAATACATTATTTATTTCTTTTTATTGATTATAAAATTTAATGATGTTTTTTCATTTGATATAAAAAGTACTGCGTTAGGATGTTTGGAATCCAATTCTGAACTATTTGCCCAGTGGTAATTCCTTTATGAATAATAGGTGAATGAGGAAGGAACCTCAATTATTCTAACTCTAAAAGTGAAAGTCTTCAAATAAACAACAAATGAATGCATCTAAGGAAACTCAGACTTTTGAAAAGTTGCAAATCCAATCATGTAACATAGGCAATTTCCATAATTTATTTTCACACATTTTGCCACTATATAAAGGTTTAAAAGAACAAATTAACCATGCATTTCATCACGTGTATTTTCGGAGATACATCTCTGAATTAATCTCAGAAAAATTCGAAGATGTATCTCTGAACTAAATTTTAGTAAAAAATGAGATTTAGTGCGTTCAGAGATGTATCTAAGAATAAACTCAAAGGTATTTTGGAGTTTTCAGAGGTGCGTCCCACTCCATAAGTGTGTAAGAAATTCTCTTAACTTTAAAATGTGTTAGTTGGATCATTTAAATTGTGGGTTATTGATTAGTCACTATTTTATTATATTTTACCCTTGAGTTTACAATGAATTTGTTAACCTTTTAGTATTTTTTAATAATAAATTTAGTAAATTTTGCAAGTTTATCAACAGCTGAAGTTTACAAGAATTCAGGAATATCCTCATAATAATATGATATTTTGGGAGAAAATTGACATGTTTTATAGGTCGAAGAATATCAAATAAATAATCAAAAAAGGAACACGATGAATGTTAAGAAGGATTTGTTAATTCTCTATTTTTATGATTGGCATTATGTTTGGTAAAACTAATGTAACTGGAACACAATACATAAGATGTTCCATCTTTGAATAAACATGTTGAAGCAACATGTTAGACAAGATGTCCTATGTAGAGTCATTCGATATCGTGACTGCTTCAGCTGTGGGCCTGGACTGATTTTATGTTTTAAATCAAGTAGAATATTCTATGAATATTATGCTATCCCAGGTGGCGCCGATTTAAAGGACTAAGAGATTCAAATTGATTTCAAGGGGAATTTTTAGTTACTATTTATGGAGAGATTTTAGGAGCAAATGTTTGAAGTCCTAAGATTGAGGAGAATAATTCGCAACTGCTGCTTTGGATAGGCGTTTTATTCAGATGAAGAGCCCAAGTCCATGCATATCAAATAACTATTTAAAGGATTCTTCTAAACCTAATCGATCATCTAAACCATGTGTTGAAAGAATATTTTTAGAGTTTAGTTCATTCTTTGTTCTTTGTGATCCACTCTATAGTAGAGATGAACTGTGTTAATTGTGAGTCACTCCTGTATTGTCTAATACTAGAGTTGGACTGTTAGTTAAGTTGTATTTACTGTTAAACATTCATAAGCTTTTAAGCAAGAATGGTTACGTGTCTTTGAAGACTGTCTTCTAATTTATTGTTGTCTATTGAGTTTATATCACTGCGATGATAAGGAGTGAGTGGGTATACTTATATCTAGGAGTTCCTAGGTAGAAGTTGTATTGGATAGGGATTAAGTGATAAGTTATAAACAAGGAAGCTTAGCTTTGAATTGATACTACTGATAGAGGATTTCCTTCCTGGCTTGGTAGTCCCCAGTGTAGGTGTGTCGATTCACCAAACTGGGTTAACAATTTCTTGTGTTCTTTGTGTTTCAATATTTCTTATTGTACTGCTCTTCTTGTTCATCGTTTAGGTTAGATATTGGTGTGTCGAAATCTTATAGGACATCTTATACCTGATAGGCCATAATTTCAATTGGTATCAGAGCAAGCATCATGTTCTGTTCTGGGTGAGATTTGGGGAAGATACTTTCTGGTTCAATGGGCAAGGAATGAGGACGTGTGAACGGAAGATCCCAGCAAAGGGCTGGTTTGAAGAAGACTTACTCAAAAGTGAGGACAAGAGAGTTCTGGGCTAATACTCCTAGAACACGTGACAAACTCAAGGAGTGTAGGAGACTGTTTGATCGAGGCAAGGTATGGAAGACATTCTAACGATGATCAAGATGGTTGTGCTCACAAAGCTATAATGCTTATGCTACCACTACTGATGGAGAGATATGTGTATCATGTTTTATTAAATGTTATGACGTCATGCATGTTTTGAGAACTTGGATAATTTATGTTGTCGGTTGGATGATTTTTTGAAGCAGGAGTATGGATTATCTGTGATAACATGTTTAATGGTTCTCTTTGAAGTGGTCAAGAATGGTTCTTTGGTGCTGAGGTGTTGGGCTTCTGATTTGTGTGTGATCCTTCCTAATCTTATAGGTTCATGGGCATTG